TAAATACCTTGCTTTTATACATTTTCACATTAGTCTTAAAAGTTCTCTTCATAAAGAATGTATGAAATATTGTATTGTTTTTTATACTTTTTCATTTTATTCTACAAAATATCAAAGCGAATATTTAAACATGCCAATAAAGAAAAAATCAAACAGTTGTAAGAAGCATGTCAAACGTGGCAGAGGTATCTTAAATAGAATTATCAACAATTTGCCTGTTGAATTACATATTCCTGGCTACCAATATTGTGGTCCGGGGACAAAGGTAGCAAAAAGAGTATCGAGAGGTGATCCAGGAATCAATCCTCTTGACGCAGCGTGCAAAGAGCACGATATTTCTTACTCGAAAAATAGGGAAAATATTGGGGCGCGAAACGCTGCAGATAAAGTTCTTCAAGAGAAAGCTTGGCAACGTGTATTTGCAAGAGACGCTAGTGTTGGTGAAAAACTTTCTGCTTACGCAATAACTAACGCAATGAAGGTAAAATCAAAATTTGGTATGGGATTGAAAAGAAAAAAAAGTATGAAAAAGCGGAAAAACAGAAAGAAAAAATCTACATTGAGGAAAATTATATCAGCTGCTAAATCGTCTATGAAAATAGGTTCAGCAGCACAATCAACCATCAAATCAGCTCTTAGAGGGGCACGTATAGCTGTAAAAAACGCTGGTGGCAAGCGTAATATAAATAAGCCTCGAATTTTACCAATATCTTCTAAGGTTGGAGGTGTTTTACCTTTTCTTATACCTTTGTTTGCGGGTTTAAGTGCTACAGGGGCATTGGCAGGAGGGGCAGCGGGAATTGCAAAAGCTATAAATGGTGCAAATTCCGCAAAACGTCAGCTTGAGGAAAGTAAACGTCACAATGAGACAATGGAATCAATTGCCTTAGGAAAAGGACTGTACTTGAAACCATACAAAACTGGACTAGGACTTTATCTCAAACCCTATAAAACAGGAAAAGGATGGAAATCAAAAAACTTAAAATGAGGCTACCACACCGAGCCCTAACAGACTTAGATTTAATAAAATTTGCAAAACGGTTAAAAATTCCATTTTTTCGAGGAGTTTTTATGCGGAATGAACTACCTATTCATGGATCTAATAAAAATGAATCTGCAATAATTAATTTAGATGATAAAAATGGTCCTGGTACACATTGGTGTGCTTATAAAAAAAATAATAATAAAATTATTTATTTTGATAGTTTTGGTAATCTTCGACCACCTTTAGATCTTATTAAATATTTCGGTGTTGGTAGCATATTGTATAATTATGAAAAATATCAAAATTATGATTCATTTAACTGTGGTCATTTATGTCTTAAATTTTTATGCAATCAGTTAAATATTCCAAATATGTATTCTATTCATATAAATGATAAATAAATTAAATATTCCATTCAGTTAATACTTGGATTTCAACATGGACGATTCACTTATATTAACATTATCAGGAAATAGTTCCATCTTAGAATCTCAATTTTTCCCCCCCATTGAGTTGTCTCATTTTAAAAATTATTCTCTTGGTCTTGTTGAATTTTTAACTTTTAATTCTATTCCTAATATAGATGTTGGAAAAAATAAGTTTCATGTTGATAATGAAGAAATTATTATTCCTACAGGAAGTTATGAAATTAGTGACCTGGATCAGGTTTTGCATTTTATTTTGAAAAATAAAGGAATTACTTTCAGTATTAAACCTAATAACAATACTTTAAAATGTACAATTTATTGCGATAAAGAAATTAATTTTCAACCTAAAGATTCCATAGGCAGTTTGCTTGGATTTTCTGCACGAAAATTAAAAGCTAAAGAATACCATGAATCTGATCAACCGGTATCCATTATTAAAATTAATTCCCTAAGAGTAGAGTGTAATATAACTACTGGGTCTTATATCAATGGGAAAAAAGTGCATACAATCCATGAATTTTTTCCTGTTGTGCCACCAGGATATAAAATAGTAGAAGTGCCAAATCACGTCATTTACCTGCCAGTCGCTGTCAAGACAATAGATCTTATTCAGCTAAGAATTGTTGATCAAGACGGACATTTGATAAATTTTCGAGGAGAAACCATTACGATTAGACTTCATATCAAATCTTTACAATAATGGGCATCGTTTTTGATAATAAAAAGAAAATAATTGGTTTTGGTTATAAAAATAATACACCATGCCAAAATCAAATCAGTCAGCGACGAATCCTGAAGAGGCTAACACCTCAAAGCCTACAATTACTCAAAAGTCTCGGTCTCAAAGTCGTAAAGAAAAAAGGATAAAACGATTTAAGATCTTTTGCAATTGTATTTGTATATTTGTGTACCGACGTATTATTTGCCATGGAAGGGGAAATTTTAAATATTGATTCACCAATCATTTTTGATGAATCAATTGCTCATTACGAAGTGCATGCGCAGCAGCCATATACATCATCAACGTATAATAATAGTGATGAAATACGTATAACTGTTCAAAATCAAGATCATTGTCTTCTTCCAAGCAAAAGTTCGATTCATGTGAGCGGAAAACTAATAAAAAATGATGGAAACGCAGTAGAGCGCACAAAATTAGTTTCTAATGGCATTTGTCATTTATTTGATGAGGCGAAATATGAACTGAATGGTGTAGAAATAGATAAAAATAAAAATGTCGGTCTTACAAGTTTAATGAAAAACTATGTTTCTTTTGATGCAAGTCAAAATAAATTTCTTGAGAATGTTGGTTTGTTAGAATTTGGTGATACTCCAAGATTAACCAATAATAATGGTTATTTTGATGTTTGTATACCGCTAAATATGATTTTTGGCTTTGCTGAAGATTATCATAAAGTTATTATTAATGCTAAACATGAGCTTATTCTAACCAGATCAAGAACTGATTTAAATGCAGTTATACAAACAGCACCTCTTGAAGAGTTCAAAATAGTAATTGAAAAAGTTGAATGGTTGTTACCGTACATAAAATTATCAGATGCTCGAAAATTTAAACTGTTAAAGTATATTGAAAAGGATCCATCTATTCCTATCAGTTTTCGAACTTGGGAATTGTATGAGTATCCTCTATTACCTGTAACTCCTAAGCATATTTGGAGTGTAAAAACTTCAACACAACTGGAAAAACCTAGATTTGTTGTGTTGGGGTTTCAAAGAAGTAGAAAAAATAATACAACACTAAATTCAAGTTACTTTGATCATTCTAATATCTCTGATGTTAAGTTATTTTTAAATTCTCAATGTTATCCATATGGTAATATGAATCTCGACATTGACAAAAACCAATATTCTACTTTGTATGAAATGTTCACTAATTTTCAAGCTACATATTATGGTAAAGAATCACAACCAATCTTAACAAAAAAAGAATTTTTAGAATACGCTCCTTTAGTTGTAATAGATTGCTCAAAACAAAATGAATCACTGAAAAGTGGACCTGTTGATATCCGCTTAGAATTTGAATCAAAAGAAAATTTCCGTGCAAATACTTCCGCCTATTGTTTAATTTTACATGATAGAATTATTGAATATAAACCAATTAGCGGAATTGTGAGAAAAATTGTGTAAATTAAAAAAAAATTATTTATAATAATTCAATTTTTTACCAATAATTATTAATTATTATTAGTATTAAATTATAATTATTTATAATAAGTACTAGTAATAATTTATAATTATTAAAAAATTATTCCTAGTAATAATTTATTATTATTATATATATATAATTATTATTAATAATTCATAAATATATATTATTACTAGTTATAATTAAATTGCATATGAATAAAATTGTATTTGAGAGAGACAGTCACTGCAGCCCACTCGACCTTGTCAAGAATTTGTCCTAGGTCAGTTATAAGAGGCTCATAAAGAAAAACTCGCCTAATTCATTGACACGTGTGAGAGTGGAAGGTCCCCCCCTTCCCCCTTCAAAGCTAGTGCCTCGGCTGTGTGAAAGAAAATACTCTTATGCATAGCTTTTACGTTCTACATTTATTCCTCTTTTAGAATAATAATTTTGTAGATTCCGAAATGGAGTACATACTAGATGTTCAAGGATTCAAATTGCCAATTAATGAATTTGTTGTAAAAGAATTGGCTATAGTTTCTATAAATAATAATGATTCCAATCCAGTGCATATGATTTTTCAACCTCCGTGTCCGTGGAATTGTATTTCGAAGAAATACAAGAGTGTTAATCGGTGGTTAGAAAAAAATTTCCATGGTATTTCTTGGAATGCCGGTGATGTTTCGTATATTTATATAAACGAAATATTAAAAAATACGCTTAAAGAAGCGAGCAAAATTTATGTAAAAGGTCACGAGAAAAAAAAATGGTTACAAGAATTTATTGATGAAAATGTTACTATTATTATCGATATGGATAATTTGAACTGTGTTTCAATAAAAAAATTAAGAGATCAAGCTTTTGTAGTTACCTGTTCACATCATTCGATTAATAAAAAAACTTTTACTTGCGCTCTTCAAAATGTAATGAATTTAAAAAATTGGTTATGTAAAAATAAATTACTGTATAACAATATTTTTTAAATAAATTATACATATATTCTAATTTCAGTGTTTTATTTACTGCATCTACCCTGCTTTATTTTTTTATTTATAGTTTTAACATAAAAATTAATCTTTATTAATAATGCAAAAAAAAAATTAGTATTAAAAATTATTTTTTTTTAAATAACATTAAAATTTTGTTTATTATAAATTTTTTTTTAATATTTACATGTTTTAAAAATAAAGGATATAGGATGTAGGTGAACAAAATTTTAATAGACATTTTTTTATAAAATGAGGTTTTATTTTTTCATTTACTATTTTTTTTTAAATATACGAATTCTTTATTTTTTTTAAAATTACATACTAATTAAATTTTTTATTACTAAAAAAATTTATAAAAATTGATAAAAAAGTTAAAATTTTGAAATATAAAAATAAATTTTCTAAAATATTTTTAAAATTACAAATAATAAAAAATTCTTAATTTTTTCTTAATAATGAGTCTCCTCATCGTCTGGTTCCTGTGGTTCCTGTTTAATTATTACTTCCAGGAGACTAGTGGCTTCGTTTACCTCCCTTTGCCTCTCCTCCTCCTCATTTTCCTCATCTATAACCACAATTTCTTCAATTTTGACACCTTGAGTTGGATGGAAATCAATGTCCATTTGACTCATTGTAAATTCTTCGGTTTCTGCTGGATTTGAAACCGGACCTTCTATGATGTCAAAATCAAATTCATCTCCCGATAAATTGTCAATATCAGGACGTTTTTTTAACAGGAACACGAAATCCTGAATTTCCAATACTTCTACAACGACATTCAAGTGTTCCAAGAAATACTCATCGTCCTCCATTGATGAACTTGGACTGAAAAGTCCGTATCGCCTTACTCCTGCCGCCAATGTCAGAAAATCAGTCAATTTCTGAAGATCAAAGCAATTGTTCACCCATTCATTAGGTATTTGGAAAAATAAACGGAAGCCCGTGTAGTTGTCCTCATTCTGCAAAAAAGAAATATATATTATTATTATTAATTGTATAATTAAATAATAATCATAAAAAATTATGACATACAATTAAAAAATAATTTAAATTAACTTTTATAATAAAATATATACCCACGTAGAAAGTGCTCCTGGAAATTGCCACCGGAATTCTTATTCGACATTCTAATGGAATTCCGATTGAAATTCCGACTGGAATTCCAATTGCAATTCTGACTAGAATTCCGATTGAAATTCCGACTAGAATTCCGATTGAAATTCCGACTGGAATTCAAAATGAAATTCTGACTGGAATTCTGATTGAAATTCCAAGGAATTCTTTTTGGAAATTTTTATGGAATTCCGATTGAAACTTACAATGGAATTCCAAAGAATTCTTATTGGAAATTTCTATGGAATTCCGATTTAAAATTTCAGTGGAATTCCAAAGAATTCTTATTAAAAATTCCTATGGAATTCCGATTAAAATTCCGACTGGAATTCCAATTGAAATTCTGGCTGGAATTCCAAAATGAAATTCTGACTGGAATTCTGATTGAAATTCCAAGGAATTCTTTTTTGGAAATTCCTATGGAATTCCGGTTGAAAATTGCAATTGTATTCTTTTTGGAAATTTTTATGGAATTCCGATTGAAACTTACAATGGAATTCCAAAGAATTCTTATTGGAAATTCCTATGGAATTTCGATTGAAAATTTCAGTGGAATTCCAAAGAATTCTTATTAAAAATTCCTATGGAATTCCGATTAAAAATTCTTATTGGAAATTCCTATTATAAATAGAAATGAAATTTCGATTAAAAATTTTAATGGAATTCTGATTGGAATTCCGATTGAAATTGTAATGGAATTCCGATTGGAATTCCAAGGAACACTTTCGTATGAATCTTTTTAACATGTATAAATATGTATAATAAATTATTATAATAACATTAATTTTTTTGTTCAATATTTGCATTCTAATTAAATAATTAATAAAAAGAAATTTAAAAAATTTAAATTATTATTATTTTAAAAGTATTTAAATTATAACTTACCAAAATTTCATTAAAGTCCAAGTCAATGCGTCGTATCCAGTATCCATTCACCATACCGTGAACTTTAGCCCGTACTCCATTGAAATTTAAAAAAACTGGAGAATGAGAATCTCTCTCCCCATTAAAAATGTCTCTTGCTCTTAACGCCAACCCTGTGATGCACAATTCTCTGAATTGTTCCGCATTGCTTTCCAAAAGCCATCTTTTTGGACCCTGAATCATCACTTCTAGGGTTGTGTAATGATCCATTTTCTCCATCGTTTCTTTTAAAAATTCTTTAAAGAAAAACAAAATTTATTTAAAAAATTATCAATAAACAAAGTAAAATTTAAAAAATTTCAATATATGTATAAATTTTTTTCGAAAATTGAAGTTAATTAAAAAAATCTTAAAAGTAACAAAATTTTAATAAAAATTGAATTTTTTTTCAAAAACAAGTAAAAAACACTATAAATTTTTTTTAAAATTTTTTTTTAAATTTTATTAAATATTACTAAAATTGAAGGCAAATTTAAAAAAAATTAAATTTAATTAAAATTTTTTTGAATTTCAATAAAAAAATTTGTTTAATTTTAACTAATAAATTAATTATAATTTTAATAAAAAAAAGCTTTAAATGTAAAAAATTTTTTTTAGCTACACTCACTTTTTTCACTAAAAAGAAAAAAATCACTGCACTGTGCACTCCACAAGTCACTTAGAAGGTTCTTCTATTTTTGGTGGTTACTTTTTTATTAAAGCTCCTATGGCACTGGCCTCTTTTTATATGCTGTCCCATAGTTTACAATTGAGTGACAGAGACAAATGCCATAGATTGAACGGAGAAGAAATATTACGATAACGCACACACTTGAAGGATGGAGTGAGACAAAACATAATTTTTAATAAGATTGAGAGAGAAAGAGAACTCAAAATGAATAGAGAAAAGAGAGGACAAATATTAAAACATATCCATGTTTTTGTTCTCTTAATTTTTTTGCCTTATTTATATAACTTATTTTTGTACCCCCAAGGAAGGGTGTCTGTACTTTTTGGTAAAAGAACTCTTTTATCGTCATACCAACTTAGAGCCTCTTTTCTTTGTTGTACAGTGTAAACTTGATGTTTTACACTTCGAATTAAATATTGATTTTCTACTAAGTTTTCGTATGAAAAAAGTGTTTTTTTATAGTCCTCAAATGTAATTTCCTTTAATGTTGAAGATCTAACACCTTTGGCTTTTTTCTTCTCGCGAATTTCGTTTAATATTTTATATGAATACAATTTCGATCTTAATCCAATAAACTCTGTGACAATCTTGCCATTGCATTCATCTTTCATTAAACCTAGAACTTTTCTATTTTTTAATTCTATACCATAACAATTATTTTCAGGATAATCGGAAGTATCGAAAAAATGTGAATCGCGTTTAATATAATCATATATGTTTGGAACTTTTATATGATAAATTAAACTATCAGTATCGGTATAAAGTAATTTAGATTGATCACTGAAAGTTTTTTTAACATAATTATAATGAAAATCGTAAAGAAAGAGTTTTGATATATCAAGAATGCTAAATCCAACATATATCGGTTTATTAAATTTAATCTGAACTTTATTCATCTCTATTATAACCAAATTTTCATCAAAAATATAACAACTATTGAAATTTGGTTTACTAATAAGAGCTTTAGCCCCGTATCTACCTTCCCAATGTGTAATAATTCTAATATCCTTATGCTTTCTTATGTTCTCCATTGTCTTCCCAAAAACAGAATTGTTCATTAATTTGTAAAAATTTTTTTCAAATATATTTGTTGACTTTTTTCGAAATTCTGTATTCAAATCAATATATTTTTTTAACCATTGAGATTGATTGAATTTTAAAATTCTATGAATTTTCGTTAATTTCATTCCAAGTTGCAAATAATATTTTAAATTTTTATAATGAATTACATATTTTGTTCTGGAAAACAAATGTGGTATTAATTTAGGTAATTTGCTCCCTGCAGCAGGGGGTATAAAATGTTCGGGGCATAAAGGCAAATCTTTATGCATATCATGAAATTCTTCTGGATATTCCAAATCTACTTCCAAAATATATCCATACATAGAATCATCTTCAATTTTATTCACATCAAACTCTGATAAATTAATTTCCCATTGAAAATTAGAATAGGGTAAAAAATTACTCATCGCTGCGCCATATAAATTATTTATATCAAAATACATTATATAAGATTCTTCAATTTCTGAATTAAATTCTGGCCCCATAAATCGATTGTTTGCTTTCGCATACCTATTTGAGCATTGAGAAATTCCTCCGCGAATACCCTTTTCTATGAAAAGTAACATTTCAATATCTCTTAATAACTCTAATTCTATTTTTGTGAATTTTAACATAGCATCGAATGCAAGTCCTGGTGCTGTAAAATAGTGTAAGGGGTCTAAATTATATGCAGATAAGCATGTTTTTCGAAAATTCTCAAAAACATCAGCTAAAAGTAAAACGTCTGTTTTTAAATATAAATCTGAATATTCCCCCAAGTTATTCAAATTAAATGTATTCCATACTTGACAAGCATGCGCATATTCTTCATTCGATATATTTGAATTATTCAATTTTGAAAAAAAAGCTTCTATTGACGGTAACTTATTTTCCTCTAATTTTTGCCAACTATCTATATATTCATACGGGAAAACTCCTTTTCTGACCAATAAATTAAACTCATCGATATTATTGCAATATTTTGCAGTAATTTTTTTTTCGTTATTATTTAAAAAACTTGCTAATTTATCCAAACTACTAGGCATGAACCTAAACGAGTCTAAAAATTTAAAACATACATTTTTACCCTCGACATATTTGGTAAAAGAGATATATTTTTCTTTATTTATCGGTAAAAGTTTTACATTTCCTTCAAAACTAGTACACAATTCTTTTATAAAAAAATGTGCATCGTATCCCGACAAATTGTGAAAAACTACGGGAACCGAATGCGAATTTTTATAATTAATATTACAACCCTGATGAGCTGCACCCCTATATTTTCCAGTGAAATGACAATGATCTCGATGTTTAATATCATCATTTTCGAACGAATTTTCACAAATGTGACAAATTTTTGCGGTTTTAAATTCCAATTCTTGCTGAAAAGTTAGAGTTTCTATTGGCACTATTTTTTTCAAATATGTTTCAACTAAATCAGCAATACTTATTAATTTTTTCATGAACCAAGAAATGCAATCCCGCCCTCTATAAGATTCAAACACCGAAAGTGAATCATCAAAATTACATTTTAAGTAAAATGCAACGCTTGTCGGAATGTGTTTCCTATATACACCAGATATTATTTCGTTATCATTAAAAGCTTCTAAAAGACTTTCAGTATCCGCATATAGTACAAATGGCACCTTTTCTTTAAATCTAAAATTTTTAAACTTTAAAATATTCTCCTCTTCTGTCGGTAAAATAACTTTACACTCGTTTAAATTCATACAATCAGTTTTATGTTTCAGAAATGAATTTTCATAATTAAAATGACATAAACATCTGTCACATAAATAAGTTCGACCGTGATGTTTTGAGAATTGTGATTTTACCAATCGTGACAGATTACGAATCCACGCGAAGTGATAATTAAAATTATTATTAGTGTGATTATTTATTACAGAAAAAGTGTCCACTTTTTTTATAATTAGTAAATGAATAGTATCTTTTTTAGAAAAATTATCGCTTAAATAAAAAGGGACAATGTCTTCTTTATTTTTACCAACTTTTTCAAAACCATAAATATTTATTTTTAAACTATTCATTTTTTCAAATTTAGAAACATCTTTTAAACTAATAGGAAAATTTATTCCCTCATATTTTAAAACATTCCTAAAATGAGGATAAGAACTTATAAGACTTGCATTATTTTTAACTGGAAACAAAGCTGCCATTACTGACCAAAGAAAACAGTAATCGTTAGTACATTTTACATTTACAACAGCCTTTTTATCAATTATAAATTTTGGTAATTCTGTATTTACAGAACAACCAACCTGAATTGGCGCATGTCTATTTATATTAACCATCAAATTTAAAATCTCCTTCAATGACCAACCTGACTTTTTTTCATTAAATTCCTCAACTTCTTTAAGAATATATTCATTTATTTCATTAAGAATTGTATCTAAGTCTGAGAAGGGAAAAAGAATTTCATTTTTTGTATTAAACGATTTTTTTTCTTGTATATTTTCACCGTTTTCGATAGTCGTAAAATTTCCTATTAACACAAAATTCACTTTTAAGCTACTATTTTCTTTTAAAGCATTTTTTAAATGGGATTTTATTACAGATTTTGACTCCTCTAAAAAGTTGAACAAATCTTTATGTTTTAAATTAATAACTACTCCTGTTCTAACTCTTTTTTCAAAAGCTGACTCTAAATTTTCCCATTTTATTCTTCTTTCTTTTTTTTCCAAATTACCTCCACCAGTTTTTTGAATTTCTCTGAATTTTTCGCAAATAGTTTTTAAAATTCCAACAGTTGTTATAATTCTTTTTCCTTTACTCACATTAATCAATTCTTTTTTTGATTTCAAAATTTTATTCAAAAGATTTATATTTTGCACTACCAATTTTATCCACTTTTCCGATTCCAATAATAACCGTTTTTTACTCTTAATATTTTTCACTATAATATATGCACTCTCCATAATTTCAATGAGTTTTGGAATATCTATAGAATCCATATTTTCTGTCTTTTTTAATTAAAAAAATGAATTCTTTATTTAACAAACACGCACAACCTATCAAGCTATTTGTTTATTGAAGACTAATAATTATTAACAAATGTATGCTTGCTTTTATACCACATTTCAAGGTTATATAAATTAAAAAATAAAATTATTAAAAAATAATTCCAGGAAATACATTAAATAAACATTCTTCTTTTCTCACGATCTAAAAATGTAATCATACGATGACCAATATTCTAATTAAAACATATTAGTCCAAAATAATATTTTCATTAAATTAAGAGAAAGGCCATGCGTTTTCTTTCTCAAATCAAAAAAAATCAAAACAAATTTTTAATATGTTTAGTTTAGACTAACATAGCATACTTGCTCATTAGAGCTAAGGAGTTTAGATGTAAGCGATAGCAAGAACTCCGCCTTCACTTTTCGGGCCGCTGTTCTCTAAATATATTAAATCTGTCAACGATAGAAAACCATAAAACTGATTGCTTAGGAAGAATTTCGAATCGCGCTAAGCTGAAAAGGAAATTTGATACCCTAAAAAGCAAAGACATACAGTACTCTGAAATGCAATTAACAGATATCGATTGCAGGAAGTTATAAACTTGTCATCATATTGTTTATAACAAAACTAATAGCAATATTTTCAAAATAATTTTAATAAGTTAAAACACAAACAGGAAATACCAAGCATTTTT